ACATACCATCGCTGCAGTATAGGAGGAGACGGGAGGAGGCGCCGTGACAGCCTGCTCGGAGAATCACGGTCTATACACAGTGTATAGGATGTGAGGATACCAGGGACATACCATAGCTGCAGTATAAGAGGAGACGGGAGGAAGCGCCGTGACAGCCTGCTCGGAGAATCACGGTCTATACACAGTGTACAGGAAGTGAGGATACCAGGGACATACCATCGCTGCAGTATAAGAGGAGACGGGAGGAAGCGCCGTGACAGCCTGCTCGGAGAATCACGGTCTATACACAGTGTACAGGAAGTGAGGATACCAGGGACATACCATCGCTGCAGTATAAGAGGAGACGGGAGGAAGCGCCGTGACAGCCTGCTCGGAGAATCACGGTCTATACACAGTGTACAGGAAGTGAGGATACCAGGGACATACCATCGCTGCAGTATAGGAGGAGACAGGAGGAACCGCTGTTACAGCTGGACAGCCTGCTCGGAGAATCACGGTCTATACACAGTGTACAGGAAGTGAGGATACCAGGGACATACCATCGCTGCAGTATAGGAGGAGACAGGAGGAACCGCTGTTACAGCTGGACAGCCTGCTCGGAGAATCAGGTGACTATAACTTTGTTATTTTTGACCCTAGGCTAAAACAAGCCTATAACCCCTGCAGTGCGGTAGTAGCCCCACTGCAAGGGTTAATAACATTGTTATCTGGAGTTTTCCTTTAAAGTACACCAGCCAAGTATTATTTGCATTTAAACTGACTTTCTGAGCCCCAGTGCAGCTTTAGGGAACATCTGGCTGCCGTTGGAGTTCACATGACTATAACCAGGTGACAAATATGAACAGCGCAGCAAACAATGTGTTGCAGAGGCACATAAAAAATAAGGTTTTGGAGCTATTCCAAATGCTGATTAGGTGGCGAGGGAGCATGAAGCTGACTTTCCGACCAATCAGAAAGTCGGGCACCGCGCCATCACGGCGCCTGGCTTCCTGATTGGCCAGCTTCCGAGCAATCGGGAAGCCGGGCAGCGTGTAATCGAAAATCACATACAAAATCACCTGCACTCCATGCAGCTAAGGAAGGAAGGAAGCAGAGACAACAAGTATACCAAAAATCAAGCAAAAATCTTGGATGAGAGGTTGGTGCTTGAAGTGGCAATACGGATGGCGCCGTGTCCGATACAGCCCATGATAGAAGTCACCAGCACTCGATGATGTGTGCAAGTAAAGCACTTTTTATTGAATCGTCACACAGCCAACGTTTCAGAGCCACGCAGGGTCCCTTCTTCTGGGTGACGAGTGCTGGTGACTTCTATCATGGGCAGCGTGTATGCCCTCTAGCAACTTCAGCGCCAAATTATAGCTAATTTGCCTACAAACGTCAGGTGGTCATACTAATCTGACCACTCAGTGTGTGTGTATACATATATATATAGCAAATATTTCTAGTATGTATGGTTATGTGAAAACGTAAGTACATTCCACGGAGGTTGTTGACTTTTTCAACAAGAACACATTAGCTTTGTATTCATACTGTGTGTACAGATCGAGGTGGTTGTTCTCGTGTCTTTATTACGGTCTGCCTTTTTAACATTTCTTATTACATTTGGATTAGAAGGGGTGAGTACAACACATCGGTTGTATGTGTCCTGCGCTCATCTCCATCACCTTTATCTATAGGCATTGTGTAAAGGAGATTCCAAAGTTTGCCTGTTCATAGATGAGGGAAAAGGTCAACAATCTACATGGGATGTACTTACTTTTCCACATGACTGTATTTCCTCGTCTGTCGTTCTCTTGCAATGTATACCGATCAGCCATAACATTATGACCACCTGCCTAATATTGAGTAGGTCCCCCTTTTCCTCACACGCCAAGACATGGACTCCACTGGACCTCTGAAGGTGTGCTGTGGTATCTGGCACCAAGACTGCATGGTAAATGTTTTCATTGTTCTTCTTCAGATGGGGAACTTTTGTCTTCCTTTCGCCCCCGGGGTACTGTGATATAGACAGCTATTGAGAACAAACGTCAAGCACACATGACAAAACTCTGAAGGCCATATACAGTTTTATTGCTGATCGATGTGTCTGTCTCTATAAAATGATCATCTGAAAGGTCTTGGAATTGGTTCCGTTGAACATTATAGTGTATCACCTGCACACAGTAATAGAAGCCATCTTGTGATCTGACTGACGCAGTGGTCCAGCAGACGCAAGTGTATATGATTGCACAGATACATTGACCGTGGAGCCCATTGATGCAAGTGAACAGGCAGTCCCTGAGTTACATACATCCGACTTACATCCGACTACTACTTACAAACGGGGGCTATTACTGTACAGCAGGGGTAGTTGTAATGCTCCCGCGCTCGTGCTGACGAGGACTGCCCGCCTTTTTGGGTCTGGTTCGTAGTACTGTGCGCACATTACAGGAAGTTGGCTCTTGTTAGACATGCAGATTAGGGGTGCCCGCCTCTTCTTCCGGGTCACTGTGAGGTTTTACTGCTGTCTGTATCCTCATTAGAAAGATTTGATCTCACTTCCTGTCCTTGAGACAACAGGAAGTGAAAGGAAATCTACCCCTAGCAAGGGAAATTCACTCCTGTAAGAGTTATCATGGGAAAAAGATCTCTACACTGAAGCTTTAGCACCAATCCTTGTTTCCACGGCAACCCAACATTTTCAAAATCCACAGGAAGTGAGGTGAAATCTTCTGAACAGGGGCACACACAGCGAAACAAACATTACAGGGGGTAACCCTTCCGTATGCTATCCAAAACTAAAAACAAAACATTGGGCTGGAGTTACACTTAAAAAAATGTACCTGTTCCCACTTACATACAAATTCAACTTAAAAAACCTACAGTCCCTATCTTGTACGTAACCCGGGGACTGCCTGTACAGCATATGATTGCACACATACATTGGCCGTGGAGCCCATTGATGCAAGTGTACAGCATATGATTGCACATGTGCATTGGACGTGGAGCCCATTGACGCAAGTGTACAGCATATGATTGCACATGTACATTGGCCGTAGAGTGCATTGATGAAAGTGTATGTTATTGTGCTGGATTCACACCTTTGTGCTTGTGATAACATGTTAACTCAAAGCACAGTAACATATACAGTCATGGCCAAAAATATTGGCACCCCTGCATTTGTCAGATAACGCACCACTTTGCGCAGACAATTGTTGCAATGACAAATGTTTCGGTATTCTCATGTTTATTTCTTGTGTTTGTATTGGTATGACACGCAATGACAGCCTGTTTGGTGCAGCTCATCATTCTGCTGTTTTCAGAAACAGAAATGAAAAGAATACAATCCCTACGGGCACATGGAGGAGGTTCACTGATGTTTTGCTGCTTCAGGCACTGGATGTCTTGGCTGTGTGCACGGCCTTATGACATCTGAAGACTACCAAAGAATTGTGGGGTGCAATGTAAGGCCCAGTGACAGAAAGTTGGGTCTCCGTCAGAGGTCCTGGGTCTTACAGCAGGACAACGACCCAAAGCACACAGAAACGGTTTCAGACAAAGCGCTGGAGAGTACTGGACTGGCCAGCAATGAGTCCAGATCTGAACCCCAAAGAGCGCCTGTGGAGAGATCTCAGAACAGCAGTTGGGAAACGGAACCTTCCAATCAGAGAGACCCGGAGCAGTTGGCGAGAGAAGAGCGCTCCATAATCCCTGTAGAGAGGTGTAAGAAACTCATTGATGGTTACAGGAAGCCATTCATTTCAGTTATTATTCCCAAGGGCTGCGCTACCAACTATTAATTGAGGGTGCCAATCATTTTGTCCAGTCCATTTTTGGAGTTTTGCGTGGAATGTGTCAGATTTTGCTTTTTTTCCCCCGCTTTTGTGTGTCATACCAATACAAACAAAAGAAATAAACATGAGAATGCCGAAACATTTGTCATTGCAACAATTGTCTGCGCGAAGTGGTGCATTATAATGATCCGACAGAAATGCAGGGGTGCCAATATTTTTGGCCATGACTGTATGTGCATATCCATTCACAATTAGAGAGTCATTGCTTGAGAACCGTCTTTGCGACGGTCACCCCCCCTTATACTCACCCCGCTCATGCAGGCCTATCATCTAATCACAGTTTGTCCAATCCGGGAGCCGGCAGGATTATTATTATTCTTAGGAACCGGCTCCATTGTCAACATCTCGAGCTGTGGTCTCAAACCTCCGGCCCTCCAGCTGTGGTGGAACTACAAATCCCATGAGGCATTGCAAGATTCTCACAGCCACAGACATGACTCCCGAAGAGAGATGCATCATGGGATTTGTAGTTTTACCACAGCTGGAGGGCCGGAGGTTTGAGACCCCTGAGAGAACCTCAAAGTTAGACACCATCTGTCATTTTTAAGGAGCATTGGCTGCCTTGCTCCTGGGATTTGTCCAGCCCTGGCCTATGTATTGCAGCAATATTATTATGGACTGTTGTGTCTTCAGGATCTGCCAGGAAGACTACTGACAGCATGGAGGACAGATGGACTGAAGTCACAACCGGGGAATACACTTCTGGTTAGCCATTATATAAAGCCCAGACGGTCCTAACATCCTAGAACAGTGATGGCCAACCTTGGCACTCCAGCTGTTTTGGAACTACAAGTCCCATGAGGCATTGCAAGGCTCTGACAGACACAACTCCCAGAGGCAGATGCATGTTGGGATATGTAGTTTTGGCACAGCTGGAGTGCCAAGGTTCGCCACCACTGTCCTAGAAGAAAGTGACACTGCAGTCATTGAGCATGTGAAGCTCTAGTAAAGGACGGGCGGCAATGTCTGTCTACTATACTCCATCCATTCAGCTGTAATTGTTAACAATTCAATATGCATTCTTAGCAGTAATGTGACATTTATAAGTGCCACGTATTCAGGCCACAAGTGGGCTCCTTCCACTGGATGCAGGTGATCATACAACTAAGCTAAGTCTGATGTCACAGAATCTTGTAATACCATAAAACAGAGAAGAAACATAAAATTAAAAAAACACTCCACGTATAAAACCAATATGCCTCTTTCAGGACTGGTGACTGGACTGCTATGCAGGCTGTACATGTAATGCAGCGTGTTCCAGCTGGGGGCTCAGACTGCGTGTAAGTGTGCCAATGGGATCCCATGGAGACGCCTGGGTCATGTATACATGGCGTCGTGCAGATACTCTAGCCTGTGTTCCTTCTGCTTCCTCCTTGCCTGGAAGACATAAAGGAGTGAGATAATAAAATGGAACAAAGCGTAGAGTCGATTCACGCTGTTGTGCTGCGGGATTGAGCTCAATAAAAAACAATTATTCAACAAGCTCACTGGCTCCGCTGAGGCTGCTCATCATGTTAAGCGAGGATCCCCTTCAGTCTGTACCCAGGAAGGGACCCCAAATGTAAAAACACAGCAGAAGCACCATTGATGAGAAAGAGAACTATGGGGTAAGTTTTCCCCATAGTTCTCTTAAGGGTCACAGGAGGACATATACCACCGTTCTCCCGTGACCCCAAAGCTCAGTATATAGCCAGCTACAGCTTGCGGTTATACTGAGAGCGACCGCAGCCGGGACGGATCCCGACATTACTGTCAAGATCCACCCAGCTGCATGAGTGACAGCTGGCTCTGCCCATCTAAAGGCAGAACCAGCTGTACCCGCCCCCCTCCCCCGTCCGTTCCGCCAGTCAGCGCTGGAGGAGGGGGTAATCCCTGCAGGGAGCCGTGAGTGACAGTAACGGCTCTCTGCAGAGAGATGATCGAGAAGTGAGCGAGCGACGGTATGTGTTCCCTCACTTCCCGATCTATTGAGCCGACCTGTGACAGTTTCGTTGCCACACATCGGCTGGAACTATGAGGTGAATGATTAATGGACTCAAAGCATTAGAAGTACCAGAATACATTACAATGCAATGACTGATGTATGAAATATCTGCAGAGTTAGTGAGGCAGCGTGACCTGTTTTATGCAATCATATGACAAATCATTAAAAAGAACTCTGAGCAAATAAAATGGGGCTGCTTCCGCACGGCAAGGGTTAAGTGCTCATTAAGTCTAGGGAGCTAAAATAAAGTTATACCCACCCAAATCAGGATCCCGGCTGCCTGAAAGTCCAGACCTTGCAGCCTCGCTCCCCCTCTGCTCCAGTGGTCCAAGGACATGCGAGCCATCACATTCTATACAGTGTAGGGAGATTCCATTGCTGGAGCGGAGGAGAAGACAGGCTGCAGGAACTGGTCTAGCAGTCAGCTGGTATTGTGGTTCAGGTGAGTTAATTTAGGTCCCTACACAAAACGAGCACCTAACCTGTGCACAGCGGGGGTAGATTAAAGTGACACTAAACTCAGGAGTCAAATCTTAAAATGATATTCAAGCACCTCAACTATTACCATAAATGTCTCTTATTTGTGTATCACTCGGCTGGGGATCCTCAAATCATCTCTGAACTGGTGCTGACACTGTGCTTCCTTCTGGAGAGGGGCTACTTTTGTTCCCCATGGTCCCTGTGTGTGTTGTAAAGAAGTCACCACTCCAAGCTCACTCCTGTGATGGACTACAATCTCAGTACAAAGTAGTAACCTAAACCTGAGATTCAGGGGCGTAACTAGAAGTCACAGGGCCGCAGAGCAAAATTTTGTATGGGGCCCTGTGATTTCTAGTTACACCCAATATATACCCTGAATATATATATATATATATCCTGATATCCCAAATAGCTCACCTGAGAGTGACCCTGCAGAGCCCACCATAGACTCTATATGGTGGGCTCTGCAGGGTCTCAGGTGGGCCGGTCAAACCCCCTTACCTGTCAGCCCCGATCCACTGTCTGCCTCCTCCTCCTCCGCAGTCGCTGGTGGGCCCCGCCTCCTCCGTCGCAGCTGCTGGCTGTCACTGACTCGGCAGCGGCTGTGAGGAGGAACGCGCCGCTACACACATAACTGACAGGTTGTCAGTGATGTGAACAGCGGCGCATTCTTCTCACAGCCTTCAGTGACAGCCAGCAGCCTGAGATGCCATAGCGACCCGTACGGCATCAGGGGGATGTCCTGGCCGGGCCCCCCCGTGCCCCGGGCCCCAATGGTGATTGTTCTGCCACTGGTGATATTGTAATCCATCACAGGAGTGAGCTCGGAGCGGGGACTACTTTACCACACACAGGGAACATGGGGAACAAAAGTGGCCCCCCTCCAGAAGGAAGGACAGTGTCGGCACCAATTCAGAGATGATTTGAGGATCTACAGCCGCGTGATACACAAATAAGATACGTTTTTGTTATTAGTTCAGGTACTTGAATTTATTTTTATGATTTGACTCCGGAGTTTAGTGTCATTTTATTTGCCCAGAGTTCTTCTTTAAAGCTACTTGGGCTCTCCCACCATTTGGTCTGGCGCTCCTGTAAAATATTTGAAGAGTTTTTGCTCCATTTAAAACAAGAAAGAAAAAAGCTTTGGATGGAGTTCTCCTTTAAGAAGAATATATTACAAGGTAGCTGACACACAGCATCTAATGTCCAATATCTTCGTGGACTGGGGGGATCCGTTACCTTTTCCTGTTTGTACTCCTCGTAGTTCGGGCTGTCAGTGGGTAGCTCATCTCTGCACAGGGGGCAGGAGTTAGTCTGTAGAGAGAAGGGAACGAGTCAGCACTACGATAACATCTGTATATCCCTACGATCCACATACAAGGTGACAGGTTCTCTTACCTTTCCTAGCCATGGCAGGATGCAGGCTGAATGAAAGAGGTGTTCACAAGGTAGCTGTCGCACTGTCTCACCCTCCTCGAACTCTAACAAGCACACTGGACATTTGAGGGCAGCGTCTGTAAGTGACATGAAGATTATAGGACTCATGTTTTCCTTCTGATTTTTACCTTGGTTTCTTTAAAGTGCACCTGTCACTGATACACAACATAGGTGGCTATTTTATACTTAAAGCTGATGTTGAACCAGCTTATATTTGGAAATTTGTAAATAAAATGTCTCCATTTTCATGACATGCCTTTTTTTTTTTTTAGACTCAGTGACATCATCATTGGGTGTCTGTGCTTCCTTATGCAATGCAGGCAGATCATGACTGGTGGGAGGAGCTAGCAGGGTGCTGCACATCACAGCACCCTGCCTCAGTTCACCTCCCAAGAGCTCTCAGCCCTGATGCAATCAGTGGGCTGGCTCTTGGGAAGAGTTATGCAAATATGAAAATGGTTTGATAGTTGGATGTCAGTCTGGAGGAGTGGGCATTCCTAGGCAGACTGTATTGGCATGCAGGTAACCCCCACATGTGATGCTGAGCCGCCATGGTTGAAAGACCTGAAATCCAATGAATGAAACGGGTGGGGCACAGACAGTAAGTTTGGGGAGGAAAGACCTAATTGTTGCTGGATGTCCTCCAGCCAGGAAATGAGGCGGGCTCTGACTTGCTGCAGCTTCTAATGCACATTGTGAGAAGCTCGCAGTGTGCAGTGAAATCAGAGAAAGCCATATCAGTCCAGGAGAGGACACGGTACAACTGTGCAAGAGTGAAGGGAAGGCCGAAGGTCAGATATAAGACTGAAGGGAAGGCCGGAGATTGGCTTTAAGAGCCAAAACAATTTTAATACGAGGTCTTCCTGGCCAGCAGCACGCTGGCCAGTCCACAAACTGGCTGCCTCCGGAGTTTGTACATGACAGGTACACTTTAGGAGACACCTATCCATGCATTACACACAATTACCTCTGGAACTGTCGCAGTCATTCAAGGATCCCATTTGATTGCCTCCGTTCTTAGCAGTAGTGAATTCATCAGAAAGATCGATAATTGTGTTCCAGTGACAGGTGCTCTTTGAAGAGAAGTCTGCGTCTTACCTGCCTGCTTCGCTGTCACCGTGACTTTTGGCAGATTTTCTACCACCTTTTTGGAAGCCGCCGGGGGAAGTCTGTGGTCCCAATCTGTGAGATCCATGGGCCCAAGATCAATATCCATCCCGCTGAGGAGACTCCTGATAGAGAAATTCACAGGGAGATACAGCTTCAATCCTACCGCAAATAACATTCCTACAAGGAATGACACCAATAAAGAGACTCTCTCTGACCTTTGTCAGCCTTTCATTGCTGTGTCCCTGCTGGGGAGAATACCAGAGGGAGATCTTCCAATGGGGACACTTGTCCTGGAGAGATCACATCTCACTTCCTGTTCTGCCTTGAGACAGGAAGTGACATTTTACAGCAGAAAGAATTGCTATATGAAAACGTGGTTCCACAAGAGACGCACTGGCTTCCATGCCGACTGACTGCTGCCCGACCATGTAAAATACCCAGTACTTCCAGTGATGGAAAACCATGACACCTACTTCTCATGGTGCAGTGCTGGCTGGCTGGCTGAAGGCCCCATCACCAGTTGAGTGTACCCATGTGAGGCTGGAGAGGCTGGAGCATTGAGCGTGTATTGTTTGGACTTTACAACAGTCACAATTTGCACAGTGGCAAGGAGCATAAGAGACTTAAAGTGACAAAGACTCATTTTCTCCCCCCCCCCATGCTGGTGTAAGGACTTACCTGAAATGAAGCCTCTTGATCTGATCACCTTCTTCTGTCCTGTAGTTTTCAGGAGTCCCTCCAGCGCTGGTGCCGGTCTCTGATCCAGCGCTGACTGCTGTGTCTTCTGTGTCACATGGTGTCTGTGCACATGCACGCTGCCGGGCTGCCTGCATTGACATACCCTGTGTCCCTCCACTTCTCCCGGCCAAAGATCTCTACTGCGCATGCGCCCACCCCATGATCCTTTGTGGCTGCAGGTACGTTTTTTGTTTGAATGTTTTTGCATACATCTACTGCTTGCTAGCAATAGATACATGCAAAAAAACCCGGAGGTATTAATTATACTTTAACTTACTGACAGCCCCCCACCACCTTCCCCGGCCCCCGCTGAAATGTCTGAAGTCCCCACCAGGTACTGTAGCTATCCTTACAGCGGACATCGCAGCCCCACAGTACGCAATGCTCATAATGCTTGCAAATGGCGAGCACTCATTGGCCAACACAGTCACATGACCATGCTGGCTAATGAGGAGCACTTCTGAACCAGGGACCAGGTGACATAATAACTTTGAATAAAGACGTCATCAGCACACCAGCTTGACAGAATCTAAGTCAGTGCAAATCCATTTATTGATAGATGTCACTCAGAATATCAAGTGCTTTCGGGGCCGTACAGGGTCCCCTTCATCAGGCCCAGACTCGTCTACTCTGATCCTGATGAAGGG